TCATATAGAAAGTTTCTTGTCCTGACTTAAGCAAGCAAAACATTGAAATGTCCAATTTACGCAAAATAAATAAATTAAATAAACTTAAGAAAAAGGATCTATTTTAGTGTAAAGTGTTATGTTACACCACTGCTTTGTTGCTACTGTCGCGCCACTGACCTGCAACGAAGCTACCACACCGCTTATCGAGCATCCCGCTTACTCAGCATAGATATTAAGTTTCCATATTGACCATATTATATTATATTTTTTAGATTTTTCCTCAGAGATCGTTCTTAAATCAACCTCCGAACAAGATTGTCAATCGGGACTTTTTTAACTTCAACTTTAATTTCAATCGCGACTTAATTATTGTTAATCGGGTTTTAGTACTAATAGGTTACGCTTTGATGTGTAATTGTTTAATAAACATTACAACGGAATAAATTGATGCCAGGAGACTTGTTTCTTCTCCCTAAATAAAAGAACTTTACAAATTAGGATTAGGGTGAAACGTAACGCTATACAGAGTGATATCAATCGTTCCAGATTGCATCTGCCAGCATCGTAAGTAGACAAGTCAGATATTCGCGCAATTATTTCAGAAAATTTTGATGGCGATCGCACTAAACTCTTTGATTTTTTACAAGACTGTGATCAATCTTACATAGAATCTAAACTCAAAGGATCCGCACACGCTCAAACTTGATTCAAAAAATTCTATCATCATGATGGAAATCGAGAATGTTTAATTAAACTATTTGGCGATCGACGAGATCTTTCTCAAATCTTAGAATTAAGAATTAAATACATTAAAACAAAGTAAAATAAAATCAGTGCAAAGTTATTTTAATCGTATAGAAACCCTACAAAAACTGGTTTTAAATGCCTTTTCTTTCCAAAATCACAATGAATCAGTAGGTAGAATCACTCTGATGACGGTATTTCTAGTTGTTTACGAAGAGCTGAACCCAAAAATATTAATGACGCGCTCACAGAAGCGATCATAGAAGAGAAACATTTGCTTGCCAGAAGGTCCAAATATATCAGCAATTCTTTTGAAAAATATTGCAGTTATTGTAAAAAGAAAGGTAATTCATTCAAAGAGTGTTATCCTAAAAGTCGATACACCGTTCATTTTAACTCAGATCAAGGGCAAACTTCTAAATCTAACACACCTCTAAAAATAAACTCCTATCCAGATCCTTCTACTAATTCACATTATAACATTATAACAGTAAATTCTGTAACTATTGTAAGAAAAAAGATCATATTATTTCTGAATGTCGCAAAAAGGAATATAATAATAAAAGAAGAAATTCAATGTCCAATGCAAATCATCAGCAAAATCAGTCTTTAAACGCCAACCAGTCCGCAGTCACATTGCTGGACTGAATAAACGAAATTCTGGCACATCTCAATCTGAAAATCAATCTCAAACTTAAAACCAAATATCTACAGAAACGAACGTATTCTCATATATCTACTATTAGCTCTATATAGTGATAATATCTGCTACATTTATCTACCTCTAAACTGAAAAATACGAGTTCGTTTTACATTCTCTTAGAGGAAATGTCATTAAACGGTATTAATCCCAATGCAGCTGTAAAAACTGTAGGCAGCACATTTTTATAGATAAAATTGCAAAATATTACTACAAAGAAGAAATTTCACATCATTCCAGAAAACACTAATATTCCGTTCGAAGGCTACTGTTGCGATGCAGTAATTTTAGAAGGAGTTCACTTAGCAAACAACTATGGAACTAGTGAAAGTCACAACACTTGTCAATGCTTACATTATTTATTTAAAAAAAAAAAAAACAGAACAGAAAAAATATAAATAATACGAACTTAGGTAGGTACTCTACTACTTTTCGTATTCTCGCATATCTAAGTTTAGTGCAGAATTCTTTTTCATTTTTTCATTAGCTTGTTCTGAAACATTTTTAGTAACTATGCTGGTGGTTTTCTTGTTCTTGTTTTAGTTTGTTATATTACAGACTTCAAGAAAGAGGTAACAATGGGTTTTCTGGATGAAGAAGCAAGAGTTGATGATACAGCTACAACCAGAGAATGCAGTTTGAAAAATATGGGATCAAAGAGGCGAAGATGTGTTGTATGTTATGAGACTCTGAAAGCTGAATTTGACAGGAAACATGCTTCTCTTAAGGCCAAACAAACCCGATACAAGTGCGAAAAATGCAACTCGTTTTATTGTGTTGAATGTTTCTCTATTAGGCATAAATCTATTAGATTGTAAGGTTTTGTTATTATAGACCCTGAGATAGGGCCTGTTTAGTGGAGTCATTTTTTTTTGTCTGGCATTTTGAGAGGTGAATGTGGCTAGTTAGCTGATGAGAATATCAGTGGTTTTAATGCCTGCCTTCTGTTCGAAATGTCCACAGAACTTTACGCCGGAAAACTCGATTTCGAACTGTGGTCACCGTCTGGCGATTTTTCAGCGTTATTTTCACAACAAAACCTTTTATTCTCTCGATTGCCAGACAAAAAGTAAACGCGGAAGTTTCTTTTCTTTTCTCTTGGAAGTTTACACCTATTCCCACTTTTTCAGCTATTGAAAAGCATCTGGTATTTTTCATGAGTGAACTATTTATCATTGTCAATATTTTATTTAGAAGCCAGAAAATTTGAGATCATTAAAAAAAAAAATCTTCATGTAAATCAATTTTTTTCTTCTGCAAATTTTCGAACGGGAGGCAGGCATCAAAATCACCCTTATTCTCATCAGCTAACTAGCCACAATCAACCCTCAAAATGCCAGACAAAAAAAAAATTACTCCACTAAACAGCCCCTATCTCACAGTCTATTAGTTTCGTGCTCTAGTTACCATTTTCACTGTTATTATATTATTATTTTTTTGGACCAAAATCTCTACATACATAGGTACTTTATTGATTTTTATATTACATATAAATAATCATTTAGTTTGAGCACAGGAACTAACAAAAAATCAATCAAAAATAATAAATACTTGTTTCGTTAATTGTTTTTTTTTAAATTATTTTTGCTGAACTTAAAACGCATGGCCGTATCTTCAAACTGCAAAAAATTTGTAGGCCATCCACAGATATTTGCTCCCCAGGTCACACTTTTTAAGATCCCATATGTTGGCCACGGTCGCCTGCATTACCTGCTATGCACCCGGCCTACAAAGCAAAAACGCTTTGAAATTATATATAAATCGCACGGCCCTCTGAACTCAAGGCCGTGCGAATCATATCTAATGCATATGGCAGTTAACGTGTTAACAGAAAGTCTAGACAATACAGGGTGTCCACGTTCAACTGGTCAATGCTAGGTTATACAATGTGTCCAACATAAGGAAAGCCAGTATGGGGATCTGATGAACGGTAAGAGATGCGACGTCGCTTGAATTAGAGAAAAGTTGCGCAATTTTGTGCTCATTAAAATGGCGCTTTGATATTTCAAAAATTCCAAGTGCTAAAATATTCAAAAAAAAAAACCGAAATACGCCCAAAATCTAAAATGATTGAATACAATGTTTGTTTGGTTGGTAACAAACACCCTAATTGCGCCCTTGCCTGGTACCTAAATAACTATTCCCTGATGATCTCTCTTTCACCGAGAGCCCATAAGGTGCGATATTTTATTTTTTTGACAGATTCCAGATGTGAGAATACTTTTAAATTCATGAGTAGTATTAGGTGAGGGAACCCTATTTATTACCACTTATACTTTATACCTTGGAACGGGTTCAGCATAAATAATTCAAGTTCTTCATCTGAATCACACTCAGACTCCAACTGAGAAGCATCTGAACGTTTAATTAGGTAGGTATAGTACCTACCTAATTAAACGGAAATTAAAGGAATACACTTGTTATGGTTATGTGACAAAATTATACCAGAAAGATACATAAAATCAAAATAAGTTATTTCACAAGAAATTGCATCCATTTTCCATGCCTTCTATGCAATTAGTGTATTCATTTGAAAGTATAGTGACTTTTAACTGAATACTTCCATTAAAAAAGATGATTTTTAGTTCCCACAATTAATTTTTTTCTCCAGCAACAGATACTGAAGACAAATCGTTGAGCCATTAATAGTACCTCATAGAAGGTGTCGTACATAATACAATATATGAAAGATATAAGCAATGAAGGTGGTAATTTTACTAGAACTAGCGGATCTACAAAAATTACCAACTTCAGATCTTGATCACCTAGCACTTTTTTGTCTCGAGCTCTCCTACTAGTTGCTTCAGTTTGTGACTTAGACTTGAAATACTGAAATATGAGTATAGATACTACTTTATACTAACATCATTTTTTAGTCATTGCCTACCTCACACCTGGGTGAGTCCCGGTGAGAATCATCCAATAATGATCGTCGATAGATTTGAATTTTTAAATTCACAGGAACAACGAATTCAGTAGGTCCTGTATGGGCATTTGACATAATAAATATAAATGCAAAGTAAGATTATTGACCAGAGAGCGAATATTAAAAGTTAGAGATATAGCCCACAATCATGACAGATTTTTTATTGGTGACTATAGAAACCTGGAAAGGCAAATTATCTGTGATGTAAATAATAAACTTGATAAACAATGGTTTAATTAAATTTATAAATTGTTTTTATTTTTGCTCGTAGTTGAAAACTAAAACTCTTGCATACCAGTTGTTGAAACACTAACAACAACCTCATCAAATAAATTAGGTACACTATGTTATCTTACACAGCTACAATTCTGTTTATCATTTCAAATATCATCTGAAATAGAGTTACAAGTCTATCTCCTCTAGTAGCATATGGACTACAACTCCTACGAAATACCTAAAAAAGCTTCAACCTTTGTATGACTCATATAGTAACTACTAATTTCAATAATCGAGAACTCTCAACAAAATATATTAGCCTTACCATCAAAATTCTTGAACTTTTTTGTCTCGAGCTATTTGACTAATGACTTGTAGTTAAAACTTGAAATATATAATATATTAAACTCCATAGTAACAACCACATTTTTTAGCCATTGTCTACTTCACACCGGGTAAGAAACACCCAATAATGATCATCGATGGGTTCGAATTTGTAGTTCACAGAAACAACGAATCCAGAAGTTCCTGGATGTGTATTGGCCACAACAAATATAAATGCAAAGTAAGATTATTGACCACAGGACGTGTATTAAAAATGAAAAATATAGCTCACAATCATGGCAGAACTTTCACGGGTGACTATAGAAACCTGAAAGGGCAAATGGTTCAAGTCGTTGTCTGTGATGTGAATAATAAACTTGATAAAAAATTGTTCAATTAAATTTATAAATTGTTTTCATTTGAGTTCGTAACTAAAACGTAAAAAGTCCATTATGATACTTATGTTATACAACTTGAAAGAACTTTTATAGGTGACTATTCAACTCTGACGATTCAATCTCTACAAATTATTTATACTCATGAATCATGATGATGAACTTTCCATTCCTGTTAAATAATAAATTATGCAATTAAAACAACAACTAAAACTTGTTTCCATCATTCGCGTCAGAACGTACCAATGCAACTGCATTTTATCAACGATTAAATTATCTTTAATTTTTAGCCATGATCTTCTTTGCTCCTTCCAGGAAAAATCCTAAGCTAATAAATGACGGATTTGAATTTATACTTCACCAGACCTACAATTCTAGGACTAACTGGAGGTGTATTCACGCAGCGAAATATAAATGCAAAGTAAGACTAATATTGAGTGGTAACCTACTACAAATGAGAAATATAGATCACAGCCATGAAAGAACTTTTATAGGCGACTATACAACCCTTGAAAGTCAATTTGTACAAACTAGGTATATATACCAATAATGATATACTTTTTCTTCAAGAGTGATAATAAACAATGCCAATGAAATAAAAACTAGGACTTTTATTATATTCCCCATCATGATACCAGCATTTGCGCTTTCAGCGCTTTACATTGTGTAGTGTCATACAACCTGAAAATACACCCTTTTGCTTCCCAGTGGATCATTCATCACTAGCTATGTTTTGGTCCTTATCGGAATTATTTCCAGGACCGTACAAAACAGTTGAGCAATTTGGTGTTGGTTTCCATTGCTAATAGCTCCGATGAATACTTATATGTTCAACTGATCTAGAAGTTGTTCTGATTCGAACCAAAACAAACAAAAATCGAGATAAGTTTCCTGGAAGTAAGTAGGTACCTATAGTCTAAGAGCCAGCGCTGAAAAAATTCGCTGAATTAACTAAAGCTAGTTTTTGGACAGTTGATTACAGTAGTTACGTACATAAACATACAGCGGTCAGTCAAGCGAAACTTGGGACAAGGACCCAGGGTGTCTTGTTAAAGGTGTCGAGATAACTTGGGTAATGCAACGAATTTACTACAGCTGAAAATCGTTATACATATTATATACCGGGTGGGGCACGAAAAAATTTCCACCCAGGTTTTCTCAGGTGTTAGGTGTTTAATCAAAAATCGCTCAGACACGTCAATTTTTGTTTTTTGGGGACACATTTTATTGGTATTATCACCCCCTACCTGTAAACCCCTAAGTGGGGGTAACAGGTACCCTCAAAATTTCAAATGGAAAGAGGGGTCGAGTAATATGTCATTTGGTAGCTATTTTCATTGAGATTATATCCCCGAAGTTTTAAGTTGCTACTATTAACCCTGCCGAAATGGCGGCATGTCAAAGTTAGGTACAATGCTTTTTTTCGATAATCTAAGCTGTATAGTTTGTACCTGTCACACCTATGCGTAGGTAACAGGTAAAAACCACACAGCATTTTTCCATTGATTTTTCCTAACTTTGACAAGCCGCCATTTCGACAGGGTAAATAGTAGCAACTTAAAACTTCGGGGATATAATCTTAATGAAAATAGCTACCAGATGACGTATCACTCGACCCCCTTTTTCATTTAAAATTTTGTGGGTACCTGTCACCCCCACTTAGGGGTTCATAGGTAGGGGGTGAAAATACCAACAAAATGTGTCCCCCAAAAAACAAAAATTGACGTGTCTGAGCGATTTTTGATTAAACACCTAACACCTGAAAAAACCTGGGTGGAAAGTTTTTCGTGCCCCACCCGGTATAACATATAAATAACAGTAGTGTTAGTCAGTCAGTTGAATAGCGGAATCGTGCTGGTCAGTCAGCCCCAATAAATGTGAAAATCTGCAAAAAATATTAATATTACTGGACAAACCTATTAATTTAAACTTCAACCTACAATTTTGAATTGTCACTGTCACGCTGTCACTCTAAAAAAAAATAGACCTATTATTTTTTTTACATAAATTGAGGCTGAACTACCTCAATGGGGCTGAATGACCGGCCCAGTTCCGCTATTCAAATGACTGACAAACATCACTGTTATTTATGTGTTATATAGAATATGTATAGCGATTTTCAGCCTTAGTAAATTCGTTATATTACCTAGATATCTCGACAACTTTAACGAGACACCCTAGGTCCTTGTCCCAAGTTTCGCTTGACTAACCGAGGTATGTTTATGTACGTAAATACTGTAATCAACTGACCAAAAACTGGCTTTAGTAAATTCAGAGATTTTTTTCGGCGCTGGCTCTCCGGCTACTATGAGATAGAAATCAGAAAATATTGATCAAAATCTGTATTCGAATGGTATAGTGTATTATAACATACCCAGGTTCGTTCAGTAAGATTGAACGATGAGAATTTTTATTACCTTTTAAACAACAAATATTCTGAAAAACGATATGAAAAACAAATAGGACCTACGTTGTGGAAACTTACTCAATTTTACTTACTGGGCATGCGCCCGACATAGCAAATATTTGGGAAATTTAAGGAAAGTTTGTGATATGTAAAAGAAACGAAAAATTTGTGAAACTTTTACTTTATTATTAAAGTAAATCGTACCGTTCTCATCCTGGAACTAACGAGAGGAAAGAGAACGTCAGAGAAACCCTCGATCTTACATTCCTTAAAAATCGAAACATACTGTGTCAATTTAATAATAATTGTGAGTCATTAATTCAATAATTTAAGTCATTAAAAGTTTAAATTAGGTACCGTCTTTGGTCTTTGTGCTAAAATTTTAATTACACACTCAACATTCAATCAACACTACCTATATTCAATACTAAAGAGTTTTTTTGTTAGTTAGCCAGTTTCCCAGCGGATACTGAGGTCCCATAGGGGAAGCTACTCAGCTGTAGCTGTTTTTGAGCCAATATATCTAGATTGATTATTTCAATTTGTTAGGATATTCTCTCGTCAGGGTAGGAAAATGTTAGTAAATTCAACAAGGCCCTAATGCACGCTCTGAATACACAAAATCAAAATCTCAACACAAAAAGACAGCACATAATTTCTTTGGTTCTTATTTACTTTTTTATTTGTGTTGTTTACAGTATGAAACGATTTTTGTTAAATACATGAACAATGCACATGTTATAAAAAATGTTATAAACAAAAAAAAAAAAAAAACATAAAATGAACAAAATAATAGGGACTTGCATAAATTGAACTCTCAAAAACAAAATAACATTTAAACCACTAACCTGTGAACGCTCCTTACACACACACTAATAGTCCAAGAGCCGGCAATACTAACGGGTATGTGATCGTTGCAATGGATAATTTCTACATAAAACAATAGTTCATAGTAACCTTTAAACTAAATGGATGGGTTGCCTCGATTCGCATGGCCGTAAAGTTGTTTTATAAAAAGATACTTCAAGAACCATAAGCGCAACAAATAAGAAGTGCCCTTGCGGTGTAGGGGGTTCTCATCATATGCGGCAAACACTTTAGTAACACAATTTCATGTTTCTTTTTTTGTCCAAAGACCTACAGCGGTATGCAAAATCCTCTTCACAGAGTCCTCTTTTAACTATAAAAGTGACTTTGAAGGCTGTCACTTTCAAAAATTTGTATTTAGCAAGCAAAATAACGCGTGCGCTCGACTTTCAATGAGGGTTGCCATTATTTCCGGCCATCAAAATCGAGGCCACCCTATATACTATTTGAGAAGACATATTCAAGAATATATCTACCAATTTTCAGCTATTGCAACGATAAAATTGTTCTTTCGGAAAAAGAGGAGTAGTTTCCGCCCAGCCATCAAAGGGTTGCGGCCATAACAATCGAGGCCACCCGTCCATTTATTTTAAAGGTAACTATGAGCTATTCTTTTATGTGAAAATTATCCATTGCAACGATGACATACCCGTTAATATTGCCGGCTCCCCTACTATAATAACAAAGTGGATTGAACAATCAATTTTAATGCAAAATAGAAATGAAAATTGAATAATGAATAATTACAGACACGCGTCTAAAGGAACAGCCCCAGCTTTTTCTCCCTCTCTTTAATGCCTAATCGCCTCTTCTCTAGCTCCCGTTCGGTTTCGGTACCTTCGTTTTGTGTGGCGCGCTCGTTTAATCCTAAACTTGAGGGCACATACATGGTTGAAACATTTATTTTTATTCAGTAAACGTTTTTTAAAAAAGTTATTATTTGAAGAAATAATATTTTAAATAGGTGGTTTTCCTCAATAGTTTTCTTTGATTAGTAGATTTTGATACATCGAATGTTTTTATTTACAAAAATCTAGTCAACGTAATAATTATAACTTATTAGAGATATATTTGCTTTCATAGACTTTTTCTTTTTAAAACTTATCACGAAACAATTCTTCCAGTTTCAGATCAGAAATCTCTCTCTACATTGAACTAATTTCCATATATCATGTACTTGAAAAAACCCATAACCTAACTAAACCATTACCTACTACTTGGCAGCCTCTGCTTATAAGACGGGTAATTTTGATGGTTCGAACTCACACAACACAGGTGGTTCTCTTGAAATTTTACGTATTTTTTCGAATGCATGATCAACTATCCAAACAAATTTTTCATTTCTTAAAGATCTCTTTGGGGTTCAACGGCTGCACTTATTCTTGAGGAAAAATATCCCAATTGATTCCCCATTCTAAGAAGTGATTTTAGTTCTATTTATATATTTTTAAGAGCCTGTATGGATTTTACTTTTTTAGAATCTGCTTATGGGTAGGTATTCCATTTTTTTCTACAATGTACACTGCTTAATTCAGTTCTACTAATGTAAATTTATTTGGATTCAAAGTAAGTTTCATTCAAGAAGTGGAACGTCGTTGTGTCGTATGTTGTCGTATAGGTACTAGTACATTTTCAACATTCCAATATCCAGTAGATAAAGCCTTGTCGGCAATATTCATCACTAATGGTGGTGATTGAACATTTATCGGCCCTAAGGTGTTAGGAGTGCTGGGCTTCAGAACAACTACCAAACGGCTAACAAAATCTATAGGATTGTCATCACTTATTGTTTCTTGACAAATCATCAATTTAATTTTTTCTCTCCAAGGAAATGGAGGGCACCAACTTGGCTCTGTGAAGTAGGCAGGCACACTTGAAGTACAAAAGTTAAATTTTACGTAAGCGTTTAGCGCTTCGTTAGTGCTTCAATGTGCTGCAATCCCCAAATAA